ATCTCCCACTTAGATGTAAAATCAGCATTTTTCCAAGGAGATTTGAAAGAAGAGGTATTTATTGATCAACCTCCTGGTTATGTGAAACTTGGCAATGAGCATAAAGTGTATAAGTTAAAAAAAGCTCTATATGGATTAAAACAAGCTCCACGGGCTTGATATAATCATATAGAAACTTATTTTTTGAAGGAAGGATTTCAAAAATGTCCTTATGAACATACACTTTTCATAAAGATTAAAGATGGAGGGAAAATGCTCATTGTTTGCTTATATGTAGATGATTTAATCTATACTGGAAATGATACAACCATGTTTGAAAGTTTTAAGAAATCCATGATGGCTGAATTTGAGATGTCTGATCTTGGTATGATGCATTACTTTCTTGGCATTGAAGTGGTGCAATACTCTGTAGGAATTTTTATTTCTCAAAAGAAGTATGTGCGAGAAATCTTGGATAGGTTTCAGATGAAGGATTGCAATCCTGTAAATACTCCATCTGAGTTTGGTGTGAAGCTAAACAAAGATATTGGAGGAAAGAAGGTCGACGACACTCTTTACAAGCAGATAGTGGGAAGTTTAATGTATTTGACAGCAACAAGACCTGATATAATCTATGCTGTAAGTGTAATTAGCAAGTACATGGAATGTCCTATAGAGATTCATCTCTTGGCTGCAAAAAGAATTTTTTGGTATTTGCAAGGTACTAAGGAGTTTAGGTTGCCCTTCAAGACTGGAGAAAAGTCAGATCTATTTGGCTTTACAGATAGTGATTATGCAAGAGATTTAGATGATCAAAAAAACACATTTGGGTATGTTTTCATGATGGGGTCAAGACCTGTTTCATGGTCATAAAAAAAGCAACCACTGTCACATTATCATCCACCGAAGCTGAATTTGTAGCTGCAACTGCTGGTGCTTGTCAAGCTATTTGGCTGAAGAAATTTCTTAAAGAATTGCATTTCAAGGAGGATGGACCTACTCAGATTTATTGTGACAACAGTTCAACAATAAAGCTTTCAAAAAATCCAGTTTTACATGGTCGAAGCAAACATATAGATGTGAAGTATCATTTCTTGAGGGATCTCACAAATGATGGAGTCATTAATCTGATTTACTGCAAAAGTGAGGACCAGATCGCTGACATTCTAACCAAGTCTCTCAATTTTCCTGTATTTCAGAAGCTTAGAAAGTTGCTTGGTGTTTGTACTTGGGATAAACAAATTTGAGGGAGGGAGCTTCGGAACTAACCTTCACTGAACTAAATGTTGAAACATCAGTTTAAGGGATGGACTATTGGAAAAGTCAAGTCTATTTTAATTACTATTGCCTTATTGTCCTAGTCTTTAGGTAAGTTAATAAATTGTATTTATTTTATTTAGGTACATGGCTTGTTTTTGACCCAGTCAAATTGAAGTTTGTTTCACATTTACCTAGTCTTTAGCATTTTATCAGGAGTTAGTGGCTGCATATATCATTGATTTTCAGCTCTATAAATAAAGCATGTTACTGTGAATCACTTCATTGATTTCTTAGAGCAATAAAGTTTACTTTCCTGTTTCTAAATTATCATGTGGTTCGTAGTAGAGTAGGCGATGCAATCTAGGTGTTGGCGTTTGTGGTGGTGGTGGTGTTGTTAGATCGACAGTTGCGGTGGTTTTTGTTGATACAGGCAGATGTGGTGGTGCTGGAGATGGATTGGGGATTTTATTTATTTTATATATTTATTATTAACTAAATCGATTGTGGGGCGGGGTGGAGTGGGAATGGGGAGTTGCTGTGACCAATTATTTGGTTGATTATAATCATAAATTAGTTAATATGTGATCAAAAAATAATTTGTGACCAATTATTTGATTGATTGACCAATAAATTGGTTGATTTTTAATCAATAGTTAATATTTTGTCCTAAATGTGATTGTGACTTACATTTTACTAAATTGTGATCGAGAAATTCCTTGTGATCGATTAATTTGATAATTTTTTACCATTAAATAAGTTGTAACTTATGAAATTTATGGTTTGTGATTGATGAATAAATTGTGGCTTATAAAATTTTTGATCTGTGATTTAGAATAATTTGTGACCTATAAGTTTTTTAAATTTTGACAAAGAAATAATTTGTCACTTGTAAAATTTTTGATCTGTAACCTATAAATAATTTATAACCAACTAATTTGATAATTTTTGACGAAATTGTATAGATTTGTGATCTTAATATACTTAATTAGTACAATATTTTTTAATTAATAATTTCATAAATAGAATTTAATTATATTTGATATTTGAAACTTTAAACCTTATTTTATAATTTTGAAATGGCTCATAATTAATTTCTTAGATATGAATTTTTTCCATTTATGTATTTCTTTTTGTCTATTTTCTTATTCGTACGAAGTGAACACATAATGCGTAGAATTTTTATTCTTCTGCAGTTGTACTTTTTATGAACTGGCACCCACCATATCTAAATTCTCAAGAACAATGCCTTTACAAGGAAAATTTTTAAATATTAAAATCCGAAGAAATTTGTAAAAAAAGTTTGAAAAATGCTAGATTTTATTTTCCTAATTCTGGAGCATATTGTCATTTTCCTTAATTTGGAGCATACAATACGAATCTCAAGACTCGACTTTTAACCCCATCACTGCCTCTGCCTCTGGCCGTACTTCCAATTTTAAACCATATTTTTACATTCGGTACCCAAACTTCCGAATTTGTTTCCATCCGCACCTTCAAAAAAACTAAAGGTATATTAATTTTTTATGCAATATATGAATTTCACTAACATCAAGTATTATGTCTTTTAAGTTAGTTATTATGCATTGTATTTTACCAGCTGCAAAAACATACTCCTTCCGTCCCATTTATATAAGATTGTTTTGTTTTTCATACAGATTAAAAAATCTTATTTAATATTATTAATTTGTCTGACGTGAAGTGGAGGGAGAGAAATATCAATCATTAAACTCTTGACCTCAGTTACGAAAACAACAATCTTTAACCAATCGAGACTAGAAGAATTAATACTTAATTTTCATTTTTATATAATTGCATTATAGATAAAATAGTTGGTTAACACCAACTCAATTTTGGGTCCTCTACTCGTTTTCACACGAAATTTGTGTATTTCTTTTAGTCGTGCTTATATATAATTTATTATCTTATTCGTACAAACACCTCAAAAATAAAAGAAATGAACACCTTCACGACAAATTTTTTTTTTCGAAAAATTCGTCTACAATTCTACTTGTTATGATCAGGCCATCCACCATATCTCATTTCTCAAGAACAATGCCTCTAAAAGAAGAAGAAAAGAGAAGGGAAATTTTAAATTATTAAAAAAACTGGAGAAATTTGTTAAAAAAAAAAAAAAAATTGTTTCAAAAATGCTAGGATCCATTTTCCCAATTTTGGGGCAAATTGTCATTTTCCTAATTTTGGAGCATACAATACGAATCTCAAGACTCGACTTAAGCCCATCGTCATGATGTCATCTGTACTTCCAACTTCAAATGGTACATCAACTTTAAACCATATTTTTACATTCGGTACCCAAACTTCCAAATTTGTTTCCATCTGCACCTTAACAAAACTAATGATACGAACCTACGTTGTGTTCGACGGCATTAACTTTTTAATGTGATATATGAATCGCACCAACATCAACTATTACGACTTTTAAAATATCTAAACTATCGAAAGTTTTAATACTCGTAAGAAATGCTATAACCCATATTTGGTTATGTAGAAAATCAAAATTTCGGTAAATTTTTATGAAAATTGATGACATATATGGTTAAAAAATTGATAAAAGTGGTAGATCCTATGAAATATAAATTGAAAATGAGATTGAAAAAAAGTGAGGACCAAAAACGACTTAATCTTTTTATCCCATTTCACCCAACTGCAACCGTCTACTGTACTTGTAATTTGATTTTACCTTGGGCCGGCAGTGCATCCATATCTAACTTCTTGTCCTGTAGAATGTAGGTTACTTGTCTTTTACCTAATTCCTCTCCCCAATTCAGCCTTGTCTGCCCATTCTGCTTTTTCTACCTCAAATCAGATACTACCAACACACAATCATCCTACCTATCTAAGCTCAAATTTAAATGAAACATGTGTCAATGCATGATTGAACAGTTTAAAGCATTAAAATAAAAAAAGTCTAATAAATTTCTGACACATTAGTCTATCTCTTAACTCCCCTATTTTTTAGTTTGACTAAGTGGCTTTATCGACCAACACTGTACCCTCCTGTCTTAGTTTTGGACTTTTCTTCACAAAATTTTATAAAATAATTAAAAGCAAAAAAAAGACAACTTAAATTTATATTTAATTATATAAAAGCTATGAAGTTTTTCAATAATGTTACGTTACACTAGTGATGCTTAACATTAATCTATTTATCTATGTAACAATGAATTATGCTATGTATACATTTCATGGGTTACATTTTGGTGTAAATTGTGCTGGTATTTAGAAACCGTAGGGTGAAAAAGTATGATTTTTTTTAAAAAAAAAACTATTTAACCACGTGTCGACACATGATACAATATCAACAATGATGTAAAAGAGAATGTTCATTTAGCATAATTGGTATAACAAATAGTGTCACATTTTCAGAAAAAGAAGGTGTCACATTTCCACTAGTTGATAATATTGTACTGATTACTGATGTTCGAGGTGATTGGTTTTAAGTGGGGATGGCGGACTGGTGGTGATGCAAATTTCCACATTCTTTAATTTTTTTTTCTTTTAAATATCATTTCAACTATAAGTATACATAAAATTTTTAATTTTAATATCAGTGCTTGTTTGGAAAAAATTATGAGTTATTTAAATTATAAATTATGAAAAAATGAATGATAATTAAATTTATGATTAAAATTAAAATTTGAATATATCTATAAACCGTCATATTGCCAAACAATTTAGTATTTATTTTTTAAAATATTTTATATAATATAAATCGGTTACAATCCTATAAGTAAGTCGTTTTCTCTGAAGTTAAGATCTTCCTCTTTTTCAGGAACAAAACACGATCAACTCTCTCTCTCTCTCTCTCTCGATCGAATTGCTTTCGGGCCTCAGTAGAATTATCCAATTCTTGAATGAGTATACCCAAACTTAAATTCAAAAAGTGGTAACAGTATTTCAGTTTTTTGGCTTAATGAACTTGACCGAGTTGACTCAGTTGAGATCATGATTCGATAGCCGGCGGCAACGATGACGTCACCACCAACGACAAAAAGTAACGCTAAGCATCGGATCGACGGCAGCGGCGATAACAATCAATACAACAACAACAATAATAATATTGGCGGGAACCATCGGGGGAGTAGAATGGGGGAGACGGCGGGGGAGTGCGCGGCGGTGTGCTGTTGCTGTCCATGCGCCATGATTCACCTTTTGATCCTAGCCGTCTACAGACTCCCCGCAGGACTCTGGAGGAAAAGGAAGAGGAAAAGATTATTGAAGCAAAAGAAGAGGAAAAATTCGGAGAATCCGGCGAAAAAGAAGAGCGGAATCCAGGTCGATTTAGGAGAAAATGATGAATCGACGGAAGTGGGAGATTGCAGCAATAACAACCATGGCGAAAAAATCGAAACCCTTGATTGGGACAGGGAAATGTGGGACCGGTTCTATGGGGCCGGGTTTTGGAGAAGTACTTCACGAAGAGATGGCGACTGATTTCTGATAAATTTTTGTGACAAACTTCACCCCGCCGTGTTGATTAGTCTAGTTTAATTAGCAATTCACGAGAGCCATTGCTTTTTTGGGGGCTCGAGAAAGCTATTTTGCGCAACTTCGAGAAACTCATCCAATCAATGTTTTTTTGAAGGAGAATCAAGTACTTCTTGATAAAGGTTACGGTGTCAATTGTTAAAAAAAAAAAAAGGGTTAAAGATATATCAATTTATTGGGTTCAAGTCATAACAAAGACGTCTGTGATTTTGTAGAAACACCAAAGGCGTTACGAAAAATTGATTGATTAATGGGTTTCAAGCAATGCAATTGAGGATGAAATTGAAGTTGGAAATTGATGGAGAAAGAGAAGGTTTGGTAGTAAAGTGGAAGTTACCTAATTGTGGCTTTATTTTTGTGAATGGGTTTATTATGGTACGCTTTCTTGTGTTATTTTTCGAGATATTGCACATACAATGTAGCAAAGTAAAATATATGTTTTGGGATTGAGATTTATGTAAATTGAAAATTTGTATCACTGAAGAGCTATGGCTTTTGCACCTTTGCTTCTTCACATTTTTTTCTTTAATTACAATTAATAAAGAATTAAACATAATTTTTGGAATTTTGCCCTTTTTGAAGCAGGACACTCCTTCGTTTAAAAGTTAATAAAAGTTATGGATCTCATAAAATTTTAAGAAAATTGAAGCTTCAATATTGGGTTGTCGAGTTGCAAATACGCTCGATTGACTGAAGGGAGGAGATCCGTAGAAAAATTTGTTGGGTTATACAGGGAAATGGACTCAAGACAAAGGCCCAATGATTTAAAAGCCTTCTGCCCAAATGTAAATGGGGAAATTAGGTCCACTACCATTCAAAATTATCAAATTAGAATTCTACCCTAAAATTAATTAAAATCTTTACTCCAGTAATTAATACGCTCAAAACCACCCTCCACATGTCTTCCTTCTTTCCTGGCCAGCATGAATTCACAGCATCTGTCGACCGCATCTTTCCCTATAGTTGCCACGTGATTTTTCTGCAGTCTTAGTACGTGATTATACCTTTCCTTCATCAAAATCCCACTCATTATCTTCCTGGTTCCTCTTTTAGATTCATATTCGAACTCGAATTCTTCAATACAAGTTTCAGAGAAAAACCAGCGGGAAAGAATAAGGAATTTTGGGTTCCACAGTTCTTGTAGTAATATTATTTAGAGAAGCGAGACAGAAAGAGTAGTTGGCGCAGCTGAATTGATTCATTTCTGCCTCCATTGGAAGATTTATTTAACAGTTTAAGGGACTCGAAATAAAAAGGTAGGTTTATAGTTAGGTGAAATAATGCAGGGTCACTGTTCATGACTACATATTATACATCGTTTTCCAGCGAACTCGAAAAAGCTCAAAACATGTTCGACACAATGCTCCAGCGAACTGTCTTTTCTTGGAATGCCATGATCACTGGATATTCTAAATGGAATAGATATCCTGAAGTGATGAACTTGATTTCATTGATGCATCACTCTAATGTTAAGTTGAATGAAACCACAATTTCAACGTTGTTAGGTGTTTGTGCACGCTCATGGTCATTGGCAAATGGAAAACAGATCATGGGCTGGTTTTGAAATTTGGACATGAGGAATTTGAGCCAGTGGGGAGTGCTTTGTTGTACTTGTATGCTAGTTGTTATGAAATCACAGAAGCAAAGCGGGTTTTTGATGAGTTATGTGAGAAGAATGATTTAGTGTGGAGTTTGATGCTCGTTGGTTTTGTTCAATATAGTTTTTTGAGTGAAGCTTCGAAGATTTTTGAAGAAATGCCGAGGCGTGGTGTGGTTGAATGGACTACATTGATTTCAAGGTATGTAAAGAGCAAAGATGGGTGTCAGAAGGCTTTGGAGTTGTTCAAGATGATGAGAAAGAGTGGTGAGGCGCTTCCTAATGAATTTATGTTGGATTCCTTAGTGAGGGCTTGTGGTAGAATGATGGACTTGTGGGAAGGAAAAGTGGTTCATGGACTCTTCTTAAAATTGGGATTTGAGTTTGAATCTTTGATATAATATATGATATTTTTCCTAACATAATCAGCATGTGAATTGTCCTAAACATGTTGATTATGTTAGAACCGTCATTACGCTCATGTGCGTTGTCTTGGATATGTTGAATATGTTAAGAACATAATTAATGGTGCTACATAAATGGATGGTGCTATTTTGGTGTGTCACTCTCTTTTTTTTTTTTTTTTTTTAATTTGTTTCACTTTTTTAGAATTTTGTCACTTTTTTGAGTGTGACAATTTTTTTGAATTGTGTTAAAAAGTGACATTGTATCACTCTTTAATTTTACGTAATATTTTTTATTTTTAAAAAACTTTATTTTTTTTTAGATTTTGTAACCTTTTGTGTTTGTCACTTTTTTTAATATTTGTCACTTTTATATATTCTTAAAAAAGTGACATAGTATGTGATATTTTCTTAACATAATCAACATATGAATTGTTATGGACATGCTGGATGTGTTAAAAACATGATTATTGGTGCTGCACAAGTGAATGGTGTTATTTTCGTGTTTGTCACTTTTTTTTATTTTGTCATTTTTTGAGTTTTTGTGTCATTTTTTTTAATTGTGAAAAAAGTGACAATTTTTATAAAAAAAAAAAAGTAGCATTATATCACTTTTTAATTTTACACAGTATTTTTTACTTTCAAAAAACATTTTATATGATTTTTCAAAACACCTTTAATTTTAAGGGAATTTTTGTAAGTTGCCAATGTAAATTACAATGAAGTTGCATGCGATATACATTTAAAAGTTCAGAATTTAATGACATTAAAAACTACTTCATAAGTTTGGCGTTTGATTGAGGGCAACCCAAGATATGAAACTACTCTCACCTCTCTCTCTAAAATTGTCCTTTATTTTTTACTTTGGAAGTTATGAATTATTCTACCGGACTCTTTATATGTAACATTTAATTTTACTACTTTTCAAAAATATTTATTATTTGTCTCTATATTTTATTTTAACTAGTTTTTATTTAGATTATTATATTATTTTCCTACATTAAAAATTAAAATATTTTGAATCTATTTAATTATAGAGAATTAGAGAGCCAACCAAATCCACTCTCTAAATTAAAATATTAATTTAAAGATGTTTTAAGGGTCGTCTCTTTAAAATAGAGAGCATCTCATATTTAAAAAGTTTCTTGAAAATGTTTTTAATCTCTAAGTTTTACATTGAAATGAAAATGTTTAGCCATTTTTTTTTTTAGTGATGAATAAATGACTTTGTAACTAAGGTAAGGTCTCGTGTTTGTGTGATTTTCTCCTCTGTGCAAGATTCTTGAGATCTCTTGTGGTGTAATCTGAATTTTGTACTAATTTTGAAATTGTAATTCGTGCTAGTGAATTTAAGCTTTATCCCTCGTGTAAATGCAGGCCGGCCCTAATATTTTGGAGGCTTTATGTCAACTTTAAATATGGGACCCTATTGAAGAAAAATCACGGTATTCTTACTTGAGCCTTCTTTTTAAAAAGTTTTAGAGTTTGTTTGGTACAGCTTAAAAATCAATTAAAATCAATCTTTTGACTGTTATTTCACTATTCTAGCCGTCATTTTTGAATTCTTTTCTCACAGGTAGGACTCACTTTACCTCTAACGGTCAAAAAATCAATTATCAAAATTCCTACCAAACAAGCACTTATATAATCATGAAAAATCTATTACAGACAACTAAACCCCAAAATTCGAAGAGGAAATTAGTAAAATATCAAAATTCAACATACAATACAAATTATGGCAAATGGGTCTGTTCGTTTCTTTAATCATTTTGTCAGTGCAATTATTTAAAACAAAATTGAATATGCATTTGAGTTATTTATGTACAAAATCGGAGGATGTTGACTGTGAGAAATTGTATAACAAAATAATGAAAATGAGGATCAAATACAAATAAGCTTCTAATTTTATATTAATTCATATTAAATTAACTTAAAAATAAAAAGTATAAATAAAGACAAAGAATTATTAAATTCAAAGTATTTTAAACAAACATCCAAAAAGGTTATTATCACGATATTAAAGCAAAACAATAATAATAACAACTTATAAACTTTGTAGCATTGTTTTGAAGATAAAGGAAAAATTGAAAAACTTGTAAGGCTATAATAATCGCAGTGATACCAAACTAACATATTAAATCGAATCTTCAAAATTTTATTTCAACGTGAGATAATTCATTTCTTGTTTGTTTGAAAAAAATTATGTTGTGTTACAGTTGGACAAGGAACTTGAAGAGACAAAGAAACATATTTGTTTGGTTAAGAAAAGAAAATGAATGTTTGAAAGATAAATTGTCAAATTACTTATATAGAGATAAAGTAATGTTTGTGATATATTTATATGATAAATAAATGGGGAAAATTGTAACAGGAGCTCCAAACCTTTGAAATATTAGCAGATTTTTCCCAAACCTTTGATTTATTGCATTCGTCACCTCTAATCTTTCCAAACATTGCAGGTGAAGCCCTTTTGGACGATTTCCATCAACAATTTCATTAGTTGACCAAAAATTTAACTTTGACCATATTTTTAATATTTAAGAAAGGGTTAAAAGAGTATATTTCATTTATAGTATTAAATAATAATTAAATTTTTTTTTTTAAAAACATGTCTTCTTCCTCCCACCCCACCCCCCAACTCAAACCCAAATTCCGGCATGTGCAGGGGTGGGAGAATGCAGAGAAAAAAATCGGTAAAATGCTGTTGGGCAACAATGGGAATTGGGAGGGCTGATAAATATAGAATATAGAATAATGGATTGTGGTTTCAAAGTCCTCCAGTTTATTACAATGGAAAGAATTGCAAGCCCACTAGTTTCCACACTCACAAAGGTATTTTTTTTTTTGTACTTTGTTTATATTTCTTTGTCTTTACATACTGGATGGTTAATGTATTTCCCAAATTTCGACATTGGGTGGAGTTGGAAAAATTTGAAGCCCTTAATTTGGAAAATAGAAATCCCTAAACGAAAATTATAATTTTTGATGGCTACAGCAACTAACCCAATCCCTAGTTCTTCTTCGGCTCATCACTTCGCTAGGAGTCCCAATTCAAGGAGGGCCAGCTCATCTCCCTGGATTCAGATTGTTTGTGACTATGATTTCAATTATATCATCTCTTCCTCTTCCATCACTGTGGCTGTGGTTGTAAAAGAGATTTCTCTGCATTCTCCCACCCCACCACACGCCGGAATTTGGGTTTGAGTTGGGCGGGGTGGAAGGAAGAAGACAGGTTTTTTTTTTTTTTTTTAAATTTAATTATTATTTAATACTATAAATGACATTTACACTTTTATCCCTTTTTTAAATATTACAATATGGTCAAAGTTATATTTTTGGTCAACTAACGAAATTGTGGATGGAAAGCGTCCAAAATGACTTCACCTGCAATGTTTGTAAAGATTAGGGGTGACAACTGCAACAAATTAAAGGTTTGAGGAAAGTTTGCTAATATTTCTGCTGCAATTTTCCCTAAATAAATGTAAGTGATAAGCTTTATGATATTTATATGCTTTTCTAAAGATTTTTGTATTTTCAATTTTTATTAATTTCCTATTTGCTTATTGATAATTCTATTTTAAAGAATTTCATAAACAATTTTTTTTTCTTTAACCAATTAACTTTATGTAATTTGGAACCTTTATCAAAGTGAGGTTTTAAGCGATCGCCTATCCCACCTATAGTCAGGGATGCCATTGTGTAAATGCTCAACAAGATGTACATTATAATTTTCACCTTATTCTTCTAGATTCCCATAACATGGCATCCACAAGCTTATTTTTATGCTTTCCATTGGGCACACCAGCGTTCTTCCAAAAATAGTATTCATACTAATGGCTTATGCTTTTACACATGTTTTGCACTCTATTTTGGAAAGACAATTAGTCATTTCCGAATCCATTAAGAACAAAACAAAGAAAAGTACCAATCAATTTGTCGGACAACAATACATTTTGTGTAACTTTTTCGATTAATTCAAGATTTAAAAATAGGAAAACAAAAATAGTTGAAAGATTAAGATTAGGTATTTAGCACGATTTTACAAAAAAATAAAAATGTATCGTGTTTGTTTCTCAAAATGATATAAAAAGTGTAAATGCTCAAAATATTTGGGAAAATATTAAAAATAGATTTTGGGGAAAAATGTATTCTGGAATGATGATTTTTAAGAAAATGTATAATTAAAAAATAAGAAAAAAGTCATAAATTTACGTATAATATTATTTTATTGTAAAATGTGTGAATAATAATGAAAAAGAAAAAGTGTATTTTTTTCCTTTTAAAATGGAGTCCAAACAGGAGCATATTTTTTTTTTTTTTTTTTTTTTACAAGGTGTCCGGGCTTGCGTCCGACTAGATCCTTGTCCCTGAACCTCCGGCCCCTCAGCAGTTCAGGGAGGTAAATCGCAGGATGTGCCCTTATTGGCTCCCAGGTTTCCACAACTCATTTGGACTCCTTCCGCAAAGAGAGCTCTCCTCGCTGGGCGTTTGTTCAACCAAATGGCTTCCCCTCCATTTTAGCACCCAGTGTTAACTCCAGGAATCGAACTCTCCACCCTTGCTTCCAGCGTCCCAGCGAAGTGATTGTTCCACCAATTCGGATGTGCCCTGGGGGGCTGGAGCATATTTTCTTTATTATGAAAGGATGTAGAATCAATAAAACCTTCTTTTCATTCGAAAGTAGTTATCTTCTTTAAATTATAAATTTATTCTACAAGAGAATCATGAATGGAGGGTTTTACATCCTTTCCGTTCGTCTCATTGACCTTTAAGAATGAGTGAATTTTTCTCTGATCCAAATTTTCTATGGACAGATTTCATTGAGTCAGACGTTTCAATAACGTCATAAAGGAGGTGGGAAGGACAGCTTGTCTAATATATAGTATGCAGCATGTATTGACGATAGTTGGAGTTGACGCTTCTCTCATGGTTCCTCATTTGAGACCCTTAAGAGGATCAAACTGGTTAATCGAGTGCACATATTAAACATGATCACG